TTTTGTAAATGAATATCAGATTTTAACCAATTGTAAATTTTCTAATGCAAAATTTAAGGTTGTTACATTCATTTTGCAGTGTTTATTATTCATTAAGATGTCAATGTCACTTCACATTATCATACATAAAGATTTTAAGAGGTTGTCATTGGTGATTTTTTAATTTTTTGCCAGGGTAAATGATTCACTATTATGTGTGATATTAACAGTCAAATGCCCTGTATTTCATAATGATGAAATGTTAATGTTGTTACATTTATTTGATTGATAGATGTGGGATTGAAATTTTCTAAGAGACATTATCATTATTTCAACATATAATGCCAAAAATTTTGTTGCACAAAATTTTTTCAGATGGGTGGTGCATGTAACGGACTATGTTTTCACATGAAAACAGAGAGGTAGCATGAGTGAACAGTGAATTGTGTTGACCATGTATTTTGAGAGGACAATGTGAGCTCCACGTTTTTGGAGAGTAAAATTATGTCTTTGTCAGAGCGGTTGTTTTCCACGCTTTGCTGGTAATAAAGTATGAGTTGACTGAGATAAGGAGAGCTGAGCGCAAGGAGAGTCAGAGTTAGTCAGAGTTGAGAGTTAGAGTTGAGATGTAGTACAGTTGAGCTGAGTTATAGTAGTGTGAGGACGTGTCTTTCTGAATGATGGAATAATACTATATATATATATATGAAATTACATTCATGCAAGGATTATCATTAATATTATCTGTGTAAACTGTGATTTAATAAAGTACTGTCAGTTTAACCAGGATTCAGTATTCTTATTTGCGTGCCTGGATAATACGAGGAAGAACGATGAAGTCTTAGCCGGCATTCTGAATTACTAACTTAAAACAAGTAACCGTGCTACTGACATAACCCACAGCCTAAGAAATAAGTTACAATGATAATGATGTCAGAGCATGTGCGTGTTACAGATGGATTGTTTAGAGTAAGTAGCAAAGCTTTATACTCGTAAACTTATGAACATATTAATATTGGACTTGAAAGATCTGCAGTTAAAACGTGTCAACTCTTGTCAACGAGCGTCTGTATGGGGCTCACAGTAATCAACTACAACTAATGATATCTTCCATTCTAATCTGGTCTACGACGCTGACGTCCATCCATTAAAATCTCATTGAGTAGTACAATAACTACCATCATTGTCGAACGAAGACGAAAGCATGATGAAATAAATAATTTATACGTGTCTCCAGTAAGAATATTTGTACATATACCATTTAAATTAGACCCATTGACATCATTGCAATAAACGTCCCTGGTTGATGCAGAAAGTAATCAGAATCTCTGAAAGATTAAACGTTTTATAAATAAGTAACATGTGAAGAATGTAAATTAATTAACCACTTCACTCGTTAAACATTTCTCAAATGAAATAACAAGATGGTGTGAATGTAAACAGAGCGTTCATCAAATTAGCTACTATACTTACTAGGGTCTTTTGAAAATATGTCCAGTGCACAGATATTCTAATAGTATTTAAAGATAATTTAAAAAAAAACAACAACAAATTAAAAGAAAATAATAACATTAGAACAATTATTGTAAGCGCATATTTTATCAATGTTATATCAACATTAAAATTCTGGTAAATAGCCAAGATATCATAGAATTAAAATAGTAATTCTTTATTAAGTGATTCAACTTATTTTCTTCCAAATGTCAATGATGGACAAATATTCAATGAATATATTATATCCGGTATTATATAATGAATTATAGTTTTTAATGTCCTATGCTCCACTGGGTGTTAAAAAGAAAAAGACGTTGAAGATATATTTATTATTACTATAAGGGAAAATGTAAAGGAAGTGTACTGTTATTAGTCTTAGAATGCCAGGGGCGGAAAGAGCGTGAGAGAGAGAGAGAGAGAGCAAGTCAAAGAAAAAGTGACATTTAACCATGTTGTGACCGGGGAGAGGGGGTCCCTAGAGATGAGTATCAGTTTGTTCTCCAAACGTACCCTGGCTGGTGTGTCGGTAGAGGAAACACTAGCCGTAAGGAACACATGTGGTTGCATCTGTTTCGACAAACGTCAAGTGATTTTTTTTATTAGAAATAGTCAGTAAGAAGGGGTTTTCCGTTTCCTTATAGTTTTAGAAAAAATATCGTATTACTATGTCAATCCGTGGAGGAAATATAAGTCCTTTACATATATTTTCAATAAGGTCACTTCTCAAGGCTCTGGTAGTTTGAAAAGTTCTATCACAAATACTTTTTAAAAAATCTGAAAGGCTTGACCGTATCTTTGCAAATTGTGAACATAATATAAACAAGTGCGAAAAATCGCAAACAGTTCTTTTTAACCCCGGGAGGACACTTGAATTTCTTAAAGACAAAGAAGAACACGCTAAAAGTTAAACCTAAACAATAAATGTATATGTCGAAACTATGAAATATTTGAAAAAAGATTTTTTTTTTTGAAGTTTCTTAACTGGAACAATGTTTATTAAATTAAGTTTAATTTTTTAAAATAAAAATGACTATATTATGAATATAAAAAGCCAAGTATATTACGGAATGTGATAAATTTCCAAAGAAATATCTGTAAACAAATAATACACCCTAAAGTTTGAACTACATAGCTGAGAAGTATGAAATGTGTTTATGAAATTGTAGCACAACAGATGAAACAGACTGACAAGTCTCATAACATAGAAAAGACATCGCTCATATAAGAAGACGAGTTGGTAAAGAGGACAGACTACAGTCATGAAACAAGACAACGTATTTGTCAAGTACAGTATATGGGATAAAAGATGGATGCGTTTTTGTTTTTAATGGATTCGAGAACGCTAGAGGCGTCGAATTGCCGGCCGTGGTGTATGTTTTACATTGTTTTGTTGAAAACGTTCAATACGCTTAAACCGAAATATTCCATGCACTGATGTCAACAAGGGACTTATAAAAACGGAGAAATGCTGCGTGTCTTGCTGAAATATCTAGAGATTACAGAATATAGTCCTAGAGCTCAAGACAATCCGACCAATTTCATTATTGGATAAACGCCATCAGATGATTAAGTAGCGTAGCAGCTTTACCGAATTTTTATTAATAGATACACGCTTAAGCGATCATTTTTTTATTAGTAAAAGGAATCACGCAAGCAGGTCGGGTTTATAATTTAATTAAAATTCGTTCTTGTGTTACTCAATTAAGAAATCCAATGACCCAGTTTTTCGGTCATTTGATCAAGACAACTCACTGTTATGAGCAAGGTTTCCGCTAGTGTGGATAACGGAAAGTATTGCTCAATTTAACACTAATATTTTCTCAAGTTTATTTCTTCTCCAAAGTACGGTGCTCACCAATGGATCTCGCGAGCGTTTAAATCTTAAGTTTTTAAAATTATTATTACTATATATTTCAGAACATGACGAACGATCTGAATTTTTTTTTGACGATTATTATTAAGTAAAAAGAACAATTTCATTGCAACCTAACATGAGAATCATAGTTTTTGACTATTGTTTGATCTGCATCTTTGGATTACACATTATTTTCGTCTTATTTAGTAAGTTAAACTTGATGGGTTTTATTCTTGTGTATGTTATGGAGCAAAATTCACATTCCAAATGACGTCATCCAAATAACTTTGCGAAAATATATTTAAAAAAAAAATATTTTTTTTTGTAATGCATGAACTTTTTGGATGGCATATATTTAAGAATCCATTCTTTTTGTTGCAAAGGGAAGTTTCTGTAAGGAATTCTTGAAAAATTTAAATTGAATTTACATTTTGTTGAAATTTCTCTTTGAAAGTGGCGTTCAGTTTATCATCAATGCATTTCTCAGTATTCAACTATTCGAATGTATTAATATATTAATACAGATTTACACACATTTTAACAGCATTCTCATATTCACAATGCTTTTTAAATTTAAAAACAACACTTTAAAGCTAATAATATTTTTTTTGTTTTCTTTTGCAAACAGTGTCACGTTTGTTCGTTAGAGCTGAAGAAGACATGCTTTTTAAAGAAACAGAAGCTGGCGAGTTCCACATGGCAGATTTTGACGTCGTATGGAGAGACATGGATCTGCTCACGTGCGTCATCCGGTGTGTACGTGAATTCAGGTCCTGTTACAGTGTGACCCATGATGAGACGACAAACATGTGCACTCCTGGTAAGCGATAAAAAGTCTAACATTGGCCGAGTTATTTCAAGTGGTGACTCAATTGATTTGAGAAAAACAACAACAACACCAACTTATGAATGATGAATGCAGTCTCCAGCAGTCTGACTTTCTGGCTTTTGTCTGGCATTCTACACTTATATTAGACATTTAATTTGCTTTTAAGTCAACATTCTAAGAATGTCTATATGATCTAAATTAGATAAGACATATATATTTATAAATGCTGAGTACAGTTTTCAGCAGTCTCAGTTTCTGACCTTTGTATAGCATTCTAAAAATATAATACACATTCAATTTGTTAATGGTCTACACTCTAAGAATGTCTATGATCTAAAAAAAAACACACAAAAACTGTAAAACAACTGATTAATAGATGCTCGAAATTACCAAATCAATGAATTTAATTCCAAATTATTTTTTGGTGTGGATATTTGTCTCCTCTCGTTATAAGGCCATACGTCTGAATAAAGCACGCCATAAGCGTTACACTAACTTCGGTTATCAATAATCACTGCAGGATCGTGGCTGGTTTTAAATCCGAGTATTCCGTTACCACAAGCCCCGGGCAAGATCTATAGCACTGGCGCCAGGTGTAACGAAGCAAGCAAGTTCAAGTATTATAAACAGGATGATGTCGCTGCGTGCTATTGGGCATCTGACAGCATGCTTAACTATAAAGACTCCAAAGAAAACTGCTCAGGTGAGCATCCATCGTTGACTATAAATTCATAGATTTGAAATAAATCTAGTCGTAAAAATTGTTGATGATTAAAGATGCCTTCTACAACTTTTGTGTCATCGAAAGATGAGATTTCAATGAAACCTACTGTGTTGCTTTTGAACTCTTATTTCATATATAATTTCCCCAGCAAAAATGAGTGAGGAGATTTAAGGTTTAGCTCTATGGTATCAAAAAATTATGTTATTTATGGTGCTTTTTAAGTTTAATTTCTAGTTCTTTTTTTGTTGCTGTCTTAGCACATACTCTCACACAAGCAATACACCTCTGATTGTGTGTACTTTTTGCAGAATCGTTTCGAATTCGGGCATTTCTTCTATCAAGCTACTTTTCATGCTAAGTCCATTTCTCTAGTTCTCCTATTTTGTCATCATGTTGTTATTGCTGCTCACGTTGAAAGCTGTTTAGCCAAAAAGTGCCTTATTGATTTTAAAATACAAGGAACATCAAACGATTCCGTTTATCATTTTCCTGAAATCCCATTCCTATGGCTTGAACACAGTCGTCCGTGAATTTAACTTTTCAATAAAGGCATTTGTTGAGTATCATGTTTATAAATCCAACTTCCGACAATGACAATGGCGAACAATTTAGTTTTTAAAAATATGTTTCTATTTCTTGTCATAATTTTCATTTGTACTTCCTGTTGAGGAGGGCTCTTAGCAGAAAAGTTCTTTTTTAATGCGATGTCTTTCGCTTCAAGCTTCAACAATCCTTGTTTTACTATTTGTTATTAATAATGGAGGTATTTGATGATCTGGAAGACTTAGAGTTTAAACATTGAGTAGAACAGGGATAAGAGTGATGGACTGCGATAAAGCTTTCAGGACATAAATTAGAACAAGGATTATGTAACAACAAGACGGACAACTAATCTCTGTAACTATTTTTAAAATCGCAAATGACTTATTACGGGTAGAATTTTTTTTTTAACAGATATAATAATGTACTATCTTCAAATAAGGAGATGACCAAGACTAAAATCATCGTTGAGTTTGCGGATGCCTGTAAAGCTCCTTACTTGAGAACACATTCAGGGATTAAAGGCACCATTCAGACTGGAAACAAAAAAAAAACAACGTACAAAAGAAATGCAGAATCGCTTCCCAATACACCAAGCTATTGGAGGGCCACATATATATTTTGCCAGATTAGCATTACTTTATGAAGGTCAAGGATTGTTTAAAAAATTGGAAATTAGAAATACATTTTTATTAAAAAATTTAAACCAATCATAGTGATACATGGAGTTCTGTAAAATTCAACAGGAATAAAAATGAAGTGATTATTTCTACTTCCAAATGCCCTCGGGGGCCGCATAAAATCAGTTGCCGGGCCACGTGTGGCCCTTTTTTTCCCACCCTTGCAATACAGAAAGACCCAAAAACATAAGTGCATTACAGGGTGTACTTTCTTCAGCCTTTGCTTCCCCATGCGTCTCCCATGAGATCATGTCACTGTCATTGGAATTGATGGACACTTTTAGGCAATAGTTAAATCGTTTTCTGCGCTCTAACTGAGGATGAGTCACCATAATTAAGTTGTTTCACTGTTTTCTGTCTGGGATGTTCGTTACATTTATCATCCAACAAACTAGACATTTTTGTAAGAACGTGGGGAGGGCGAGACGGCAAGCCTGTTGGTTGACTTCTCTAATCTAATCTTTGAAACTTATGAATTATTTTCAATCTTGGTTAAACTTATTCATCACATTGGAAGAGATTTACAATCCTGATCTTATTTTGTTTACGTATATCTAATTATTTACCCCCACATTTGAAAAAAAAAATAACCATGTAAGGCTTTTGTTTATTGTATCAAGTAACTCCCTTATTTCATGTTTTTGTTTATTGTATCAAGTAACTCCCTTATGTCATATTTTTTCTCCTCCAGCAAACGGTGCGCATCTTTACACGATCAAACTGATGGAAAAATGGACGATACTAAAGAAAATCACAAGTGGACCAAATGGTAATTACTGGATAGGACTAGACGATATCAGAGAGGAAGATGTCTTCCGATGGGTGGACGATGACTCGCGAATGTCGGAGAGCCTGAGGCAAGAGCTATTTAATAAATGTAAGTTTGGAATAATTATACATTTTTATATCATATATATAATTGATGAAGTGTAACTTTTGTAATATCTATTTATAACGGTAGCTTCAATTTTATTATTGATACTAGAAAAGGAATATTTGTTTGACAGTTCTAGCGTGACACGGTCTGTGTGTGAGTGTCTTGTATGTGTGTCTGAGAGACAGAGAGAGAGAGAGAGAGAGAGAGAGAGAGAGAGAGACAGAGAAAGAAAGAAAAAAAGAGAGAGAGAGAGAGAATATTGGGGTTTAATAGGGAGGGGGAGGGTGGAAGAACGAAGAAAACACATTTAGTGGTTGAGTTTTTAATTAAGATCAGTCAATGAGGATATTAGGATGATAAGAGAGTGGTGGTTTGAGGTTTGGCCAGTGAATGTTATGGACTTAAGTTGAGCTGCTGGTTAGGAGTTAGCAGACACTTGTAAAGGAAAGAGTCTTTGACGTCAACAATATTTATTATTATGTCACGCGATTAATTACGCAATTAATGAAATATCCCAAGATCAGCAAGAAAGACTTCACAGGAAACGGCTGATTTCAGCAAATATTCCTTACTTAATGGTAAAAAATGTGAAAAACCTCTCTCCATGGGTCTCTATCAAATAAAAGAAAACCATTTGTTAGAGAATGACCTTGAAAGTAGTTTTTATATAAATCTTTGGCACTCTAGGTGCACAGCGCTGAACACTAATTATTTGTATGACGTCGTGACTTTCAAATGTGAATATATTTCAGATCAACCCGATAACTGGAACAACACAGAAGATTGTGCTTACCTGAAAGGGGCTGGGAAGCTGAATGATGAAAACTGTTTGCATCCCTTTAAATTTGTTTGTGAAATGAGTCTTTTCCAATAAATATGAGTTTTGGAAAATATCGAAGTATTTTGGCCCTCACTGACCAACTTTTGTTGATGTTGATTGAACGACCCATGCAAAAATAGACTATACAAAGTGTGTACACTTAAAATGTGTTCTATAAATGAGCAATACAAAATAAATAAATCGATGAATACTTTTATTTAAGTGATTTTTTTTTAGCCCTGCGTTAAATATTTTTTTTTTTAACCAACATCAAACAATGTCTTAAAGTTATTTGACATAAAAAAGAAATACGAACGAAAAAAAAAAGACAATTTGATTTATTAAAATGAGCATTTCTTCAGTATCGAATTTTTCAACCAAGGTGTCCAGCGCCCGTTAGGGATCAGTTAATTTTAATTCAAAAAATAAATAAATCGATGAATAATTTTATTTAAGTGATTTTTTTTTAGCCCTGCGTTAAATATTTTTTTTTTTAACCAACATCAAACAATGTCTTAAAGTTATTTGACATAAAAAAGAAATACGAACGAAAAAAAAAAAGACAATTTGATTTATTAAAATGAGCATTTCTTCAGTATCGAATTTTTCAACCAAGGTGTCCAGCGCCCGTTAGGGATCAGTTAATTTTAATTCATTAATACATTTGTGGGTGAGGGAGGGGTGGGGGCAAGACGGGGTAATACTAAATAAATAGTAGCACTCAATTTGAATTAACTGGAGATCTGCAGTCGGGGTGGGGGAGGAGGAAGGGAGAAACGTAATTTGACAAACGTGTGCTCACCTATCACAAACATCGATTTATACTCTCTGTAGGTCTTATACTCTCTGTATATATATATATATATATATATATATATATATATATATATATATATAGCCCAAATTGCCACATTTTCCCCGCCTGGGTGCTCCTCTAGACGAGGCAGAATTTCCACAGCCCACGGGCATCCACACGTCTTGATGCGGCACTGCTATCATTGCAAAGTGAACATACTGCTTGGATTTTATAACTTAAAAAAAAGGAAACGTTGTTATATTCCAGTCAATCTCTTCAAATTTAAAAAAAAAAAAAATCATTCATTTGCAATCTTTTACATAGATGTGGGCGAATATGGATGCTGAAATCAACGGAATAAGAACTAGAGCAGAAATATAATTGATAAAGTTACAAATAATAATAACAAATCGATGACAATCTCGGCTGCATTTCTCGCAGGATAATCTTGACTCCGTGTTTTTCTTTTTGTTGCAAATGCTACGTTTCGTGCATCTTCTGCCTCTTTGACGCCTTCATACACCATTGTTCGCCAGCTGGATCTTTGCCCACCATAGATCTCACATTCGTTGATTTCTAAGTTGGCTTCGCTCATGCTCCTTTTGTAAATGACCATAAATTGCAGCCGTGGCTGACCAAAGAAAACACAAGCTTTGATGATTTTTAATACAAGGAACATGATCATAACTTTATGCCAACCATAAGAACCATCTTTCTCAAACTGTAAATCTTGAGTCGACCTACTCAGGCCCCATTTTTTTCAAAATTTTGACAAATCTTGAAAAATGGAAATTTTCTGAAAATATATAAACTATGTGCCTCCGTCGGGTTTTCCACGGGTTATTTGTAGATATCTATATCAAGGCAACTGAGAGCTTCGGACCACTTGACTAAATTAATCACGCCCGATTGAAGATTATAATCTCTAGCCCAGCTTAATCAGTGGACCTTTGTTTTAGTCTTGATACCAATAGTTAATTGGCCATGCATTGATTTCTTCTAGTACTGACATATTGAATTAAAAAAACCTTTGTTTTGATGTTTGCATCTGGAACTCTTTAAAAAAATTGCACATTAACCGCTTCTACTGAAAGGGTCACTCGTTTGCCTAATAATTGTTTAATATTTTTTTGTTATTTTCTTTTGTGTTTTAATGTGTTTACAAGCTTAGAATTAAGACCCATTCTCTAAAAAATCCGTTCAATTAGTTGTGGAAAGAAATGTGCATTTTATTGTCACGTTGTTTCATTATCGAGCTTCTGATGACGAGTCTTTTCTTTCGTAACTTGTTAATTTATTAATCAGCAAGGGGAATTCATGAATACATTGTATAAGAATAAAGTGAGTTTTAAAATGTGAATCAGGTCATTTCCATTTAAAATGTGAATCAGGTCATTTCCATTTAAAATGCGAATCAGGTCATTTCCATTTAAAATGTGAATCAGGTCATTTCCATTTAAAATGTGAATCAGGTCATTTCCATTTAAAATGTGAATCAGGTCATTTCCATTTAAAATGTGAATCAGGTCATTTCCATTTAAAATGTGAATCAGGTCATTTCCATTTAAAATGTGAATCAGGTCATTTCCATTTAAAATGTGAATCAGGTCATTTCCATTTAAAATGTGAATCAGGTCATTTCCATTTAAAATGTGAATCAGGTCATTTCCATTTAAAATGTGAATCAGGTCATTTCCATTTAAAATGTAAATTAAAATATTGGAAACTACATTAATTAAAAAAATCGAAGTAAATCTGTTTACAAACAATTAAAACGAAACAAATGTTTTTTTAAGCTTGACACTAGTTCATTGATCAATACATACAATAATTTGTTTATTTGGTTAAATGTGTCTGTCGCGATCTCTCAGAGGAGAGACACTAATGGAGAGTTTGGTATGGCGCCATTTGGAGATCAGTTTTCGGCAACGAGTTTGATTTCTTGCATTGATCGTTGTTTGAAAGCTTACCACGAAATGTGTCTCAGTGTCTCCTACAAATGGGAGACAAAGACTTGCATGCCTGGTAACGTACTTTATAAGTGTTAGATCTATCAAAATAGAATCAAACTAACCAAGAGAACGTGTGATTGTTAGATTAAGGCATATAAAAAATGTTTAGTTGATTGTAGTTTGCATTGTCATTCATTGCAAACTTCTCATTGATCTCCCACTTTCGTGCAAACATTTACTATTGCGAGCCAAACACGAGAAGGGTAAAATCTATTTAGAAACTTACGCTCTTTACCCTTCCCTTAACTGAATTAAAAAGTTGAATGACCTTCTAATCAGAGTTCAGTAACGTTTTTGAAAGTCACTGAAGAATATTTCATTGGAATTAATGATGATACTTATTGCGATAGTAATCATGATATTAATTGTGATATTAACAGTCGTGTTAACGGTGATATTAAGCCTGGTACTAATGGTGATATTAAGGGTGATATTAAGGGTGATATTAAGGGTGATATTAAGGGTGATATTAAGGGTGATATTAAGGGTGATATTAAGGGTGATATTAAGGGTGATATTAAGGGTGATATTAAGGGTGATATTAAGGGTGATATTAATAGTGATTTTGAACCAGAAAGGGACTTTTAAATAAGTGTAGTTAATCGTACTCAAATTTTAATGAAACCGTTCAACATTAGGAATGGCAGACAATGATAAATGTTTGCTGTGGTGATTAAAAAATTATATTCCAATAATTAAAACTATTCCCGGCTTATTATCATTTTTTTTTCCACAAAAAATTCTTGTCGCTTGGCTTAAGATATCTGAACGTGGATAACACAATACCTTCACCGGGACTAGACACCATTTTGTACAGGGAAACAGCGTGTGATGGAAGCCAACCATTCAGTTTGTTCACGGCAGCTAACGTCATATCCTGTTTGTGGATGTCAACGATCAAGTTAACTTCGCGGAAGCTATGAGAAATTGCGCAGGAAAGAACAAACCACTTACTTTCAGGGTAATCTATCCTCAGGGCTAAGCAAACCTCATCGCTTTCAAAATAATTTTAATACATATCAGCCTAAAACACCACTTTATTTTCAAATAAACATTCATTTTAATTAAACGTCTGAGGTTATCAATCTCCCATCACCCTCTCATATATATTTTCACGCTAAATAAATAAACAAATAATATTTGGGCCCCTATAAAGAGGTAATTTCCAAGTGATTTATTTTACCAATGCTATTTCTTGTGCTCTCTTTTGTACGTGATTTGCATCGAGACTTTTTTCTTTTTATATATTTTGAGGGCTGCTGGTTTGAATTTAGAGTTTGCCTTCTCCTATAAGATGAGTTGCCGTCCAAAACTAGCAGGTCCCGCAGTTTTTGCTTCGGTGGGGTTTGAACTCTAGGCCTGCAGCACTCCGCAACTTTGAACTCAGATGAAATAGTTGGTTTCCTTTTAAGAAGATTTAAAAAAGAAAAGATCGGCTTGTTCCGAAAAAAATCATTTTTTAACATAAAAAAAAAATAAAAACCGCGATTGCATCTATTGATTTTTCGCTTAGTTTTCAAGTCAATAATTATACTGTTTGGCTACATTTAAATGTCTGAAAATATAATTACCACCATAAAATAAATAAATGGTTTAAGAAAAATTCCGTCGTCATGATTTCTTAAAAAAAAAAAACCAACATGAACATAAAACTATGAAGCTACATTATGTCTGTATTTTTTTTTGTTTGGGGAAGAGGTCTTTTTTGCAGTAGAATTAATTGGCTGGATGGCTGACAGGTCTAAACTGAGTAACTCCCGGTGGGACTCGTTAACTGAAGGCGACAACTCGTTTAAGGAATTGCAGATTCTGGATTCAAACCCGATGAAGTCGCGTAGGCGGATAAAATTGTCACAATAGAAAATTCTGGACAACTATTGCGACTCTAAGTCGCCAAGCTGTATCACCCACATGTGATGTTCCTTTGAGTTATCTATGTGCTTGGAGAGAGGCGAATCGCTGCCCAGGGAACCAGCTCATCCCTTTTAAGAAAAATCCCAGGCCTTGTGATTTCGTCCTACCAAGTCTGCACCATCGTAACATCATGACAAGTTTGCACCATCCATCCATCCACCCACCCATCCACCCATCCATCCATCCACCCATCCACCCATCCATCCATTCACCCATCCATCCATCCATCCACCCATCCATCCATCCATCCATCCATCCATCCATCAATCCATCCATCCATCCATCCATCCATCCATCCATCCATCCATCCATCCACATATCTATCTATCTAGCTAGCTAGAACTCTATAAAAAAGATATAGAGAGGTAAAGAAGTTTTAGAGAAAGAATGAGAATATAAATACAAAAACCTTAAAAGATAACAAATACATTTAAAAAATACATTAGATACATTTACATGGATTTCGTTATAATTTATTTAAGTTTCAAACAATTTTTTTTTTGGTTACGTTGAGAAACCCGTTATCTTCAGTCTGCAGCGATCAATCCGTTTCGCTTTGGGGCTAGACATCAAAACAGAAAAAGAAACAAGACATCGTGGTGTAAGAAATAACGGGAATTACTTCAAAGTCTGCGTATCCCATTCAATAGTTTAAACGTGAAGCGAAAGATGTTTGCTGTTTAATTCTTACAGTTGGATACATTAACGGACATCACATTACAAGATAGAAAATCATGCTCTAATATCTGAACCACGAGTACGGACTTTCAGCAGAGTGGTTGATTTTATTCCTTGGGACTAAGGAAACTGATGGTGCTCTCACTTCGGAGGTTGTCATTTGAAATGTTTCAACTAAAATTATTGATAATCGTAACAGTAGCAAATATTCTTTGTTCTGGTTAGTGCAGAGTTGCATACGTTTTTTTCACCCACATTTTTACCGATCTGATCGTTTTGAAATCATCATTGAACGACTTAAACTAAGATAATTCAGTTGTTTTCATTTGGAAAAAAAAAATCAATTTTCATCTGTAACTTATGATTTATTTGAATATTTTGTAGTTTATGGTTTTACATAACAAAATAAAAAAAAATCTTGTTATCGTTAAGGCTTTTTATCGTCTCGCGTTTTAGCTATAAATAAATAAATATATTTTGTTTGGTTTTGATGACAAATACCATGTCATCTATACAATCCAATGTTTACAAAAGGGATCCTCCCTCATCCCAAACGATACACTGCGGGGTAAGAAAAATCGGTCTTTTTTCAAAAAGCAGTCAGCCTTATAGAAATCATGATTAATAACAGAATTTATCGTTTTCGAATTTTTAAATATATAGTTCTGCAAAGTCTCAATAGTATTTACAACGATGCTAAAAAAAAAAGTGCATTTCAGAAACCTGAAGTGCCCGTTAAAATGTGAGGCATGGTAAGGAATACCCGAAATCCGTAGACTGGCATTGTGATATACAATCTAAGAAAAATCTGTCAAAGCCGATGGTTAGTCCTAACCTACCACCGCGTCAAATACGCACTTAACAGAATGATTTTCAAGATCTCACACTTGTTAAAGAATAGTTCACGAAAGAGAGCATTTTGACCAAGCTGTTTATCTTTGTATAATTTTATCTCTTATTTAGTTTATAGCTGTGGATTCTGATAGCCAAAGTACTACGACTTTTATAAAAATCAACTTTTAAAAACTTTATCTTTGCACTAAAATATTTATAATTTTCTCGAACGGTCTGCTGATAATATATCAACCTCTCATTTCATCGTAATTTTGTTTGGAACTCAGAAGACATTAACCACGGCTCATTATGTATTTGTTGCTAAGCATGTTGAGTACTGCTAAGAGAAAAAATGGCGAAACTAAAATATATAACAGTCGTACGAAAATCATCAAAATGAGGATCGGAGAGGGACTCCATTATAATCAATATAGCAATAATAAGGGAATTCAGCATAGGGGGTATGGCAAATATTACTATTTGGAGATGAGGCGCACAAGTTACATTTATGCTTGTAGTAAATAAAATTAAAAGATCAGAAGACTATGACGCCAGGTGTACACGCTGAAATGTATCGTTATATCGTATATATTATTTACACCGTCTGTGACAAAACTTTCCGATGAGCTGTGTTCTAACAAGCAAATATGAAAACCCATTATAAAAAACTATAATAGTTCATCAATTTTTGATATTAAAAACTATATATATGTCATCGTTAACATTCAAAGATGCGCTTTTCACCCGATTTGCATTGTGGTAGTTAGAAGTTAACTTTTTTTTTAGCTGGGAACTGTATTGTTTAAATATCAACACTGAAACATGATTTAACGAATAAAATATGTTAAAAATAACTCAACATCAAACATTTACTCAGGGAAAAAGATAATTTATCTACTTTTCCTGTATTTGTATCAAGGTAACTCAACTCCACAGTGGCGTATACACTAATTACATCAATTAGGTAAAAAAAATAGAATGAAGAAATTGTTTAATATTGATACAAGATGTATCGACCATTCTTCGTTTAAACAAAAGTGTTTTAACTAATTTTCATTAAAATCCTTTGTGATGTGATCTTTGCATCTTAACCTCCAAAATACATGATTAGTTCGACTTATATTGCCATTCTTATACTTTAAAAACTGCCATAGGTCTCTTGTTTTTTGTTAGTGTTTGAAAGTGTTACAAAGCTTAAAATTAAGAAGCCGTTCTAGAATAGAGCCTTTTAAATTAGTTGTCATTCTCACGCGTTTAAATTTTCGAGCTTCTGATGATGTTTTTGTCATTCGTAAGTTGATGAATTAGAAATGAATCAGTACAATTTATGAATAAATTTAAAAAGAATAAACGTGATTTAAAAATATCTTTAAGGGAATTTCTATTTATAATGTAAGTTAAAACATTTGAAAGTTTATATTTATACAGATAAAAAAATAACAATTTAAAAAGCAAAACAACAAGGCATAAAACAACAAACAAACACCTTAGTTAAAATAGTCGTCTTTTGGCAATGCACACACAAAAAATGCTTTGATTTGTCCAATGTTTCTGTCGTGATCTCACAGAGGTCGTTGCTTTTAAAGACCAAGCTGTGCGGTTTAAGAAAAAGACCAATGGGGGACCTGGTATGACCCAATTAGGAGGTCAAATTGTGACAACGAGTTTGATTGCCTGTATTGATCGCTGCTTGAAAGCTTACCAAGAGAAGTGTTTTGGTGTGTCGTACAGCAAGGGGATGAAGAGATGCACGCCGGGTAATTTTAAAGCATTTATCATATTTTTCATTTTCCTTCTTTTTTTTTTTTCATTAGTATTTTGTGATGTTTTATTTTGCTTCATTAAAAAAGTGTCTACATTATATTCTTCTTGTTTCCAAAAGCTTATAATTCCATATTATTAAGAACAATCGCAAACAAAATTGAATTAAACTTAACATTTGATAATAAAAAACTCAGCAATTGAGTTGGCCATTGTATGCATTGAAGTTGGAATACTCTAGAGGAACTTAATATATTTTTTTTTCTAGAAGTATCAAACTTTCTGAAAAAAAAATTTTTTGGACATCACAACATAAATGTCAAACCATCCCTAAAGAAATACACAAAGCTTAAAGGAAATCCTGAAAAAGGACAACACTGAAAAAGGACAACACTGAAAAAGGACAACACTGAAAAAGGACAACACTGAAAAAGCTGAAGTTTGGACCAAAAAGTTTTTTTCCTTTTCCAAGGTTTTCTCAACCCTTTGTAAATTTATTTTTGGCTTCAACCTGAGCGCAGTCTTCTCCGTATTTCTCTTGTCCCTAAAAGCAACTTAATGTTGAGCAATAAAGCAGGACTTAAACAATAATTTTAAGTCTGTAAATGATTTAGTTTATTTATTTTTTAATAATAAGAAAATTTCGAATCAAAATGAGTCATGGAATTTTTTTTTTTTTTTTACAATTGAACGTATTAATATATGGCAATATTGAAAAAAAAAATATATAAAAAAAATCTGCCCTGTTTGTGTAGGAGGATGGCATGGTTTTAGATGATGGCAGCCACAAGACCTTGACCCCATTTACCACAGGTAAAAGTTTTTAAATTATTTTGTTTATTTATTTTTTAATAATTAGAAAATTTTGAATAAAAATTAGTCATGGAATTTTTTTTTTTTTTTTACAATTGAACGTAGTAATATATGGCAATATTGAAAAAAAAAATATATAAAAAAAATCTGCCCTGTTTGTGTAGGAGGATGGCATGGTTTTAGATGATGGCAGCCACAAGACCTTGACCCCATTTACCACAGGTAAAGAGCGTGTGACGGTCATCAAAAGTTTAAGTTATATAAAGTCACTAATGTCACGTCCTGTCTTTGGCTGTCAAACGATCAAGTGGACTACACTACAGACGAGCTGAGACAAATTGCTCAAGTAATAACAATCCCCTTAATTGACAATAAAACCATCAACTAGAAACAAGCGATCTCCTCACTGTCAAAATAATTCTTATTTCTTTATAATCATTACGAACATGTATGTAACATATACAAACGGAGGTTGGAACTTAATGCACTCAAATAATTGAAAGGCCATGATGAAGTTGATCATTTATAAATTATATACTTTGGTATAAGAGCATTGGAAAAAAAATGTTAATCTTTTAAAAAAAATATTTTTTGACAATTATTTGTTCCGGTGTTTGATGGCTTATAAGTTGGTAGAGGACAGTGAGGTATTCTTCAAAGCTTGAGTGATAAGAAAATACTATTACGGAAAATGTTTGCCGGTATTTTTTTTCGTCCATTCCCGCCCCCTCCCCTCTCTCCGGTTTTTGTGTGTGTTTAAAAGGCCCTTACGTCATTAACGTTAGTGCCGTCTCACAACAGTAAAAGAGCGAATCTGATGAAGTTAAATGAAGTTGGATGCTTCTCTGATTGTGACATCTGTTTTAAAGATATTTATTTTGTATACATACAATATTTTAATATTATCCTAACTCTGGGAGCAAACGTAGATATTAGATATGAAGGGATGAGGGTGTTGGGCAGTAGTATCATTTGAAGTTAAATGTCGGCTTTTAAACGGGAAAAAAGAACTGTAAGAAAAAAAAATTACTTTAAAAGAGTTTTGGTATCTAAATAAATAGAGGAACTTATTGCTTCTTTTTTTTACAAACCCCCCCCCCCCCCCAAAAAAAAAAAACAAAACAAAAAAACTAACACTAAAAGTGACTCAATATAACAAAAAAAATGCAATGCCCTATTTTAAAAGAAATTTAAATTCAATGTTTCTGTTGGCATCCATCTAGTCTAATAAGATATTGTTATTGAATTTCAAACAATTTATATTTCAGATATGGGAGCACATCTTATAACCTTAAAAGAACGTAACAAAATAGAAGTTCTCAAACGGGCAGTCAGTGGAAGGAAAGGCCCATTCTGGATTGGACTCGATGACATGGACAGTGAAGGGGTTTTTAAATGGGTCGACGACGGTCTCGTCATTACTTCGGCCATGTACTCCGCATTGTTCCCTGAACGTACGTACACGAATATGCAGTTGGATTTGTGCTTCGCCAGTCAATTGAAATATTCTTCTTCTTTGGGAGAAGTTAGGATTTTGAATATCTTTGAACTAATTACAAGCGGAGCCACCGCATTGACTTTTGAAGACTTTTTCGGTGTAACGCCCTCCGCATTGAAATCGACATTTCCATTTTTGCCTCATTACAGCTTTGGGCCTCTCCAGTATCAGAGGCTCCATCCGTTACAGGGGTTGCAGGGCCCATGCGACGGCTCCTAGTACACCAATACACAATAATAATCAGACAGAAGTTAGTACACAAATATAACATTTTCCATCACTAACTGACAATGTGTATCAAGAAGGCTAAAGTCCAAATTTTTTCTAGGCACCGTGAGTGACATTTTAAAGCCACTTTGAGCTCTATACACGTCTGTTATTGCTATAACAGAAGCCGGACACAATAGTCTCTTTACACCCCGTTATCTTTACATTGCCCTTGTCTTAATTAAGGTGTAATTTTGGACTTTAAATACAGTTCGTAAGTGATATATAATTTTACATTTGAACTTTGCATATTAAATTATCCTACGATAGTATAATAATTACATTTAAATTACACTGCACACTTAATTAGTTATAGAACAATATGTATGCAGTTGATCCTGTCACATACAATTGTAATGTAGTTCTTCTGAAGAATAACTATTCATAGAATTTTATAGAAAAAAATAAAATTACTAAATTTGTTGAATTTGAACTTTTTAGACAAACCAGACAGCCAAGGCAACCAAGACTGTGTGACCTATGGTGACGGGGGCGAATATTTTAATGATGAAAAATGTGACGATAATGAGTTTCATGTTTGTGAAATAAGTCTTCTGACTTTTTAAATACTAAACTTTCATTTTATTTTTATTTTGGCCGCTCGACTAAACTCAGTGCTATTTGGGCGATGACTAAACTCAGTGCTATTTGGGCGATGACTAAACTCAGTGCTATTTGGGCGATGACTAAACTCAGTGCTATTTGGGCATAAGTACGTAATAAGAAAATTGTTGAAAATAAAAATAAAAGCAACACCTTCTATAAATATTAGATCTACATGTATGATTTATAAATAACTGTTTTTATAGTTTTGTTATAAAAATGTTTCATTAATAGGATTATCTGGATACAAAAATCAAACCTTCTCATCTTTCGTGATGCCATAAGCTTTTGACTATCATTGTCTGATGGCTGTCGTTGTCTATTGGCTGTCATAATCTATTTGTTCTTATTGTCTATTGGCTGTCACACTCTATTGGCTCCGATTGTCAATTTGCTATCTGGGTCTATTATTGTCACGTTAGAAACGTTCAAAGTTAACAAGCATGATCTTGAAATATTCGTGGGACTCTTTTCAAAGTTTTCATCTGATGACACTACATATTCGTAGATTGCTTCTGTACATCTGATAGCACTACTTATGCTTACGTTCCTTCTGTATATCTGATGGCACTACATATTCGTATGTTCCTTCTGTACATCTGATGGCACTACATATTCGTACGTTCCTTCTGTACATCTGATGGCACTACATATTCGTACGTTCCTTCTGTACATCTGATGACACTACATATTCGTACGTTCCATCTGTACATCTGATGGCACTACATATTCGTACGTTCCTTCTGTACATCTGATGGCACTACATATTCTTACGTTCCTTCTGTACATCTGATGGCACTACATATTCGTACGTTCCTTCTGTACATCTGATGGCACTACATATTCTTACGTTCCTTCTGTACATCTGATGGCACTACATATTTGTACGTTCCTTCTGTACATCTGATGGCACTACATATTCTTACGTTCCTTCTGTACATCTGATGGCACTACATATTCTTACGTTCCTTCTGTACATCTGATGGCACTACATATTCGTACGTTCCTTCTGTACATCTGATGGCACTACATATTCGTACGTTCCTTCTGTACATCTGATGGCACTACATATTCTTACGTTCCTTCTGTACATCTGATGGCACTACATATTCGTACGTTCCTTCTGTACATCTGATGGCACTTCATATTCTTACGTTCCTTCTGTACATCTGATGGCACTACATATTCGTACGTTCCTTCTGTACATCTGATGGCACTACATATTCGTACGTTCCTTCTGTACATCTGATGGCACTACATATTCTTACGTTCCTTCTGTACATCTGATGGCACTACATATTCTTACGTTCCTTCTGTACATCTGATGGCACTACATATTCTTACGTTCCTTCTGTACATCTGATGGCACTACATATTCTTACGTTCCTTCTGTACATCTGATGGCACTACCTATGCTTACGTTCCTTCTGTATATCTTTAAATTACAAAATCAATTGTAAATTAATAAGCGCGAAAATAAAAACTCTTCTTGCTAAAAATTGTTTCTATAGTGTTGATAATGAAAGTATCTGATTTAAAGGAACGTACAATATTTTAACAATAAATTGTGTGGCTACAATTGCAGCCTTAGCCACAAACCTGCACATAGGCAGCTCAGGCCATGGGGTCGTTCATTACTGTAAACGAGCATTGGTGGTGTCCGACAGCCCCCTTGGGGACTAAGCAGCCCTCTTTAGGAACACACTGATAAACGTCTTGGCAGAAGGAAGTGGCTAGAAAAGGTGCTCTAAACATTGTCTGCTCAAACCTTCCATATCTAGCCTACCGCATTTGGAGGATACCCTTATCATATGGTCGAAATTCTAATTCAAACTCATTGACATCATCTTGTGATCCCCCCATTTGTGTCTGTGGTTTTGCCCTTCTAGACCCATGCAACACCATTAAATCTAAAAAAATAAAGGTTTGATTTCTAATCAAGTGGAGGATCTAAACGCGAAAAATATCATGTCAACTTATCTGTTATTGAAATTTAAATACATAACCATCTCTCAGAGTCAATGTGTCCCCGTCGATCTTCTAATTGTCCCAAAATGGGGTGTTTGTCCTTCGTTGGTAATCACTGTTATAACCCAAATGTTAGGGCTAGTAAGTGCGATTAATATTGTTAAGTTATAACATTGTTATAAATTACCAGGAAATTATAATTAGGACACTGAAATGGTCATTTGAAAGCCAAAAATAAATGATTCATCAGCCTATTTGATCATTGGTGCAAACCCACTAAGGATATCCAGCGCCTCTAAACTATATTTTACCAAACACCCGACACTCCATACAACCACATTCAGAATGACGTTATCATAAGCTGATAAATGTAACATGTATAATGTATTTTTTCCTTATTGTTAAATTGTTGTTAAAGGAATATGGTGCAACAGAGCCGGTATTTTACATTTTGACATTTCCGTCCGACTAGTTTGGAAAAAAAAAAGGGGGGGGGGGTTAGAAATATAAGTTTATAAAAGGAATGTATAATGTATTTTTTCCTTATTGTTAAATTGTTGTTAAAGGAATATGGTGCAACAGAGCCGGTATTTTACATTTTGACATTTCCGTCCGACTAGTTTGGAAAAAAAAAAGGGGGGGGGGGGTTAGAAATATAAGTTTATGACAGGTCTTAGTGGACTTCTGGTATAGTTTAATAGATGCTTCCTTAGTTAAATAAACTTGAAATATAACGTCATGAGTGGCAGATTAAAGTCTCCACCAGACTGCACAAATGGCGTTATGTCATACAAACAAAAGAATGGGCGTCAGTGCAACCATGAATGTTTTACAATCATCGCTAAGGTTTTCTAGATTTTCAATTTTTTTTTAAAGCGTGTTCATAGGCGTGTCTATCAGGAGACACCCAGACACCCCATTGCGTTGTATAATGCCAGGCTTTTGAATAGATTACTTGGCCCACACGCAGAGTCCCTGGTTACTGGGCCCACACGCAGAGTCCCTGGTTACAGGGCCCACACGCAGAATCCCTGGTTACTGGGCCCACACTCAGAATCCCTGAATACTGGGCCCACACGCAGAGTCCATGAAACACACAGTACCATGGCGTGTCCATGGAGCTGCAGTGTTGAACATTAAACGGGAGCCTGCGATGTAAAGATCATTACATTTAATCCAATACTCTTTCAATACAACTCTATCACATTATAACATAGACTTCATCATGAATAATATTCGAACATTGTTATTTGTTTCTCTCAGGTTTTGTCAAAATATTTATGTTATATAATGAAATGCCCCTAAACAACAATGTAAATGAATACAAACGTTTGACAGGTTATCATAATTATTAATTAAGTCTACAGTTGTCAAACAAAATATAATATTATCTACAGTGATTAAGCCAGTTTCTTATTGAAGTTATGCAGACTAGACTGTAAAGTCACAGCTAGTTAAAAATAAAAGATCTATAACGTAAATTTCAGCAGCTAATTGATAATAATAAAGACACAACGATTTGAAACATTTCTTTTATCTTCGAGATGTGTGGAAACATTAAAAAAACCCACCAAAACCAGAATTTGAAATTCGATGAATAAAAAAACAACAGCATCACATTTGACAATTTTGCTGTGTTAGAGAGTCTTAATCTGACCCGAGTCGCTTTACCTCGCATTCAGTCTTTAATTTATTTCACACCTATCTTAAACAAAACAGCATGGTACTTTCAAACCAGGCTCGACATGACTTGATTTGTCGGAAATTATCAGAGCGTTCAAACAGATTCCTCAACATTGGCAAACAAAATTAAATAAGATTTAAACTACACGATGCCGAGTTGTCGGATTTCCTTGCAGAAAAGGACGTCTCATGAAATGACGTTTAAGATGATGGCGGGTAAGAAAATGACGTTTTAGAAAAATGACGTTTAAGAAATAGACATTTAAGAAAATTGACTTTTAAGAAAATGACGGTTAAGAAAATGACATTTGAGACCATGACGGTTAAGACAATAATGTTTAAGACAATGACGGTTAAGAAAATGACGGTTAAGACAATGATGTTTAAATTGAAAAGAGAGAATGATACGATTAGTTACCCCAAAGAACACGCTGAAAGATATGTTTAAAATGTACCTAGCGCACCATTTTCTCTTGCTAGAAGTAGAATTTATTACAACATGTGTAAATCAACGCTAGTTTGTCAAGATGCGTGTGTCAACCGATTGGGATTGAGGTTAGATGGTAAGGATATTGTTTGCTGCAATGTATTGTTTTGTATAATTTATAATTTTTTTAACATTCAAAATATCAAAACTGATCCATGATTTAATGCTTAAAGTATGTTATAAATAACTCGGTATCAAAGCTGGATCAATAAAATAAATTGGTCTGTTCTTCAATTATCTGAATCAAGGTACCTTAAGGCCTCAGCGTGTTTGAGCACTTAAATTAATTATGTAATATAACAGATTAAAGAAATGGTTGTAATCTCTAACCCAACAGTAGGGGCTTTTGATTAGTATTGGTACATTGTGGTAACTGACTAGGATTGTTTTTTTTTTTTTAAAAAATGTAATATAACTACATTACATTTAGACCATTTGTGATGTGACGTTTGCTTCTCCACCTCTTAAAAAAACATAAAAGTTTCTACTTAAATGATCATTCTTATGCTTTAAAAGCTCAAATAGGTTTCTTGTTTTTGTGTTAGTGTTTGAAAGTGTTACAGATATTAAAATAAATAAGCCGTTCTGGAGTAAAGCCGTTTAATCCGTTGTCCAAAAAATGTACATTTCACTGTCACTTGGTTTTATAATTGAGATTCTGGTGATGTCTCTGTCATTTCGTAAGTTGATGATTAAGAAATGTAGCAGTGACATTTATAAATGAATTGTATATTTATGAATAAAAGTGAACTGAAAAAAAATCTTTTTAGGTTAATTTGTATTTTTATATAAAAATTAAATTATTAAAAAGTTGATTATATTTACAGATAAAAAATTACTTAAAAATGCTTTAGCGTAAAAAGTTCGTTCATAAGAGCACACAACATTTTTGTTTTGGTGAAAAGTTTCTGTCTTGATCTCACAGAGGCCTTAGCTCTTAAAAGCCAAGTGGTGCGGTTTAAGAAAAAGACAAATGGGGGACTTGGTATGACCCAATTGGGAGGTCAGATTGTGACGACCAGTTTGCTTGCCTGCATTGACCGCTGCTTGAAAGCTCACCAAGAAAAGTGTTTTTGTGTGTCCTACAACAAGGGGACGAAGAGATGCACGCCTGGTAATATACATCATATATCATAATATTCCCTATTACTTTTTGTGTGATAATTTTTAATTTTCTTAATTAAAAAAATATCTTACGATATATATTCTTATTTCCGATAGCTTAGAACGTAACATTATGCAGAATAATAGTAAAAAGAAAGTTACTTCAACTTAATGAACATGAAAACTGTGTTACCTTTTAAAATCATCATTGTTAATAGTGGTCGATCGTATGATTGCAGTTGAAATGCTCTAGTGCAGTGGTCGGCAAACGCATTCAAACAGCCAAAAAATTAGCAGCAGAACTATTAAAAAAAAATTAAGAGGCACATTTCTTTTCAAGAACCTGTCAAGAACCATGTTTTTCCGCGTCAAAAAACGATTTGTGGCCGACTGGATGAGGTGCACTCATGTCGTTAAAGAGCCGCATGCGGCCTGCGAGCCGCGATTGGCCGACCACTGTTCTAGTAGAATCAGACATTCTTTCGTAGAATTATCTTTTTTTTTTGTTTGTTTTATTCTATTGTTTTGTTTTGCAGCCCAAACATGAATGTAATCGTGTCCCTAAACAAATATATAAAGAGCAGAGGAAATATTGAAAAAAGACAACACAAAAAAAAAGTTTGTTTTATTCTATTGTTTTGTTTTGCAGCCCAAACATGAATGTAATCGTGTCCCTAAACAAATATATAAAGAGCAGAGGAAATATTGAAAAAAGACAACACAAAAAAAAAAAAAAAAAAAAAAAAAAAAAAAAACAAAAAAAAAAAAAAAAAAAAGAAAAAAAATAAAAAAAAAACAACAAAAAAAAAAAAAAAAAAAAAAAAAAAGAAGACGTCTCGGCCAAAAATTGTTGTCTTTCTGCAGGTTTTCCTCTAACATTTGTAGATTTCTGACTGCTTCAACCTGAACGCAGTCTCATCCGTATTTCTCTTGTCCCTAAAGATAAAGTTTAAGTGAATGTAGAATCATTTTCCTTTCTTTAAAGTAACTAAACACTTTTTATATCTCCCTTCTGAAACCTAATTGAAACTTTATTTAAGTGTCACTAACGGATGCCACTTTTCTTGAGAGTAAAAGGCATGTTTAGCACTTCTTTTAAATCTTAAAATGCTTTAGTTGATTGGAAACTCGTTTAGAAACCGGATAATTTATGGAAAATATATATTTTCCCAATAATTAAACATATTCTATGTCACTATTGACGGTATTTAAAAAAAATGTTTTCTTGTTTATGTAGGAGGATTGAATGGTGTTAGAGCATGGCAGCCACAAGCACTTGACTCCATCTATACCAGGGAAACAGTGTGCGACGGTCACCAACCTTTCAAGTTATACACAATAAATAGCGCCATGTCCTGTCTTTGGCTGTCAAACGATCAAGTAGACTATAGTCTTGCTAACACGAAGTGCACAAGTAATAACAAACCCCTTACTTCCTTTTTAGTCTTAAATTAGAAGCGGGAGATCTCCTTACTGTCACATTAATTTTTTTAAAGATAATTCTAACTAGCCTATTCCTTTTTAAATATATCTTTGATACGAGCTTCCAATATTCTCTTAATTATTACAACTGACGCACTATCGCATTTCTTTCTTCTTCCTTCACCTATTACACAAATGGTATCATATGACACAAAAAAATATCATAGAACACACAATTGTATCATCGCAAACAAAATGGTATCATAGTACACAAAATGGTATCATAGTACACAAAATGGTATCATAGTACACACAATGGTATCAAAGTACACACAATTGTATCATAGTACACACAATTTTATCAAAGTACACACAATGGTATCATAGTACACAAAATGGTATCATAGTACACAAAATGGTATCATAATAATGGTATCATAATACACAACCCTAAGGAAGAGATTACAACAACTTGAAGGTCGTTAAACTCTCAGCCGACCAACATCCCAGGCCAAGTTTACGACCTTTCTCACTCAGCCTAATTCATCACTCTCGCTTTCACACTGTCTATCTCATGACCTATACGCACACACTTGTTTATTATTCTATTCCTGTCATCCAATGATCATTCAGACACACTACTAGCACTCATGACACACTACTAGCACTCATGACACACTACTAGCACTCATGACACACTACTAGCACTCATGACACACTACTAGCACTCATGACACACTACTAGCACTCATGACACACTACTAGCACTCATAACACACTACTAGCACTCATGACACACTACTAGCACTCATGACTCAACTCAATGGACCCAAACAGCGTTCACTCTAACAACAGTGATTCTCATACCTTTGACGATGTTCATATTATTACAACTGTCTCATCTGCTAAATCCTCTCCTTGCCCGTCCACGGGGTACGTCCAAATTTTTTGTAAAACAGAGTAGCTCGGCCGTGGAGGCCGCATGCTTTTTTTTTTACGACTTGCGTTTTTTCCAAAATCATATACGACTGAATAATATGATTTAAAAATGTTTTCTCTAATCTAAATAATTTATTTCCTTTCAATTCACGGTATCGTCAAGAAAATCCACGTTTACTTAGCTAGCCCTTGAATACTACAAATGATATGAAAGTGGAACAAGTCCATTTGCTCTTCTCTCTCCGTAAAGAAATAGTTTTTTTTCCAATAAAGATGCACGATAAAAAAATTAACATTAAACATTTTAAAAGAATGGATTTGCCCCATTTTTTTTTTACTTTAAATGAAATGGAAGCAAAATTAAGTTTCTAAATGATTAAATATAATTATTTTAATTAAGTTTTAGCTAGTCATCTTAGTGTAAAAGAATAAAGTTTCTTTCCAATCTACACAGTTCAGTGGATGATTCGCTAATTTAAAAAAAAAAAAAATGACCTTAAAATCTGCTTGTTCGGGTTAGGCAACATACAAATACCCAGCTATAGTTTTAGACCCACATCCTGTCACAATGTATTTAGCACATCATAGAGTTCAAAGAATAAACTTCTGGAATAAAACAGGCAGAATATACTTTACTTCCGGTCCCAAGACTTGAAGAAGCTATGATGAATAGAAGAAGATATAATCTTTTCCAATTATACATTTTAAGTACATGGCTTTTAAACACACGAGACATAATAGGACAGACTTGGACGACTTTGACAGACTTGGACCGACTTGGACACACTTGGACAGACATGGACAGACTTTGGCAGACTTGGACAGACTTGGACAGAATTGGACAGATCTGGACAGACCTTGAAAGACCTGGAAGTCCTGGACAGATTTGGACAGACTTGGACAGACTTGGACAGACCTGGACAGACCTTGATAGACTGTACAGACTTGGAAAGAATTGGACAGACATGGACAGACTTGGACAGATTTGGACTGACTTGGACAGACTTTACACTTCACACACAATTCAAATTACATGGCTTATTTCTTTATAATAAAAATGTATGCACTGACACACAATAAACTTAAGAATAAAGTTGATTATATAAATTATATTATATGGTAGTCCACTGAAAAAGAAAATGTTAATCTAGTGTACTTCCATCTCGGGGGCTGACATTTCGACTACTGAAAATATTATGACCGATGTTTGACGGGAGTCTCAGTTTGCCGAAGAATGGCTGAAGTTTACCTGTCGGGGTTAAACATAATTAAAAAGAGAAAAAGGTTAATTGAGATATTCCAACGGTTCTTTCAGCTCTGTGCCCGAGTTTTAAAAAGTGAATCTGTATATAAAATAAAACAATGCATTGCACTCTTTAAAAAGAAGTTTAAAAACAATTTTTGTGTTGGCATGCATCTAGTCTATTAAGATTTTGTTATTGAATTTCAAACTGTTTATATTTCAGCTATGCACGCACATCTTATTACCTTAAAAGAACGTAGCAAAGTAGAAGTTCTCAAACGGGCAGTCAGTGGAAGGAAAGGCCCATTCTGGATTGGACTCGATGACATGGACAGTGAAGGGAATTTTAAATGGGTCGATGACGGCCGTGTCATTACAACAACCATGTACTCTGCATTGTTCTCTAAAAGTACGTACTGCGGTATGCAACTGTATTTATGTGATATCATTAGGACCTACAGGAAAATATTATTATCCTTTGGGAGAAGCTAGGAATAAAAATATGTTTCCATTACACTTGTTTTAATTAACATGCAATTTAGGACTTTACAAAAAGTTCGTACGTGATATAAAATTTGACACTAGAAATAAGTCAGTTATCCTACAATACTATAATATTCCAATTTAAGTAATAATGAACACTAACCATACTAGAACAATATGCATGGAGTTGATTATGTTAAGACATTTGTTATGTAGTCCTTTCAAAGAACACATATTTACAGATTTTTATGCAAAACCTTTGTTTGTTTTTTTCAATTTGTTTTTTCAGACAAACCAGACGATCAAGGCGGAGAAGACTGTGTGACTTATGGTGACGAAGTCGATTTCTTTAACGATGAAAAATGTGACAAAAATGAATATTATATTTGTGAAATAAGTCTTCTGACTTAGAAAAACGATACTTTCATTTTTATATATTAGCTGCTCGACTCCCCTAATTATAATTTCGGCGAGCGCACAATGAAGTAATAAGAAAATTGTTGAAAATAAAAAAGCAAAAAGTTCTCTAAGTTCTACGTGTTTTTTAAACAGGATTTATTTGGCCAGAATGTTTTTTTTAACGTATTATTAAGCCGCGTTTAAAATAAAACATTTTTTTTCGGGATTCAACTTTAAAATTCTGCTATTTGTGACTGTAAAATTTAGTTAAAATAAAATGCATAAAAGGTTAAAAATGAATCTTGTTGGAGTAAATGAATGAATAGCATGGCTTTTAATTACAATAGCCTCATTGTCATACTCTGATTGTGGCATTGTTGTTTTATAACTTCTTTACGTCACACATTTCGTAACTAAAAATAAAAATGCTAACATCAATCAACACAACTATTAGAACTAAATGCAACATTTTTTATAAAAATACAACAATGGAGCTGGATCTTTTTTTACACCACACGCATAATAACTATAATAAAAGTTTTTTTTAGATTCCTGAGCCGAGTAGTTTTAAGTTGAAGGACCTTTTTTCATAATATAAGAAAGCCCCACCAAAATAACTAGCGTTGATCTTAAATATTTCGTTGATTAAAAGAAAGAGACATATTGATCCTGTAGTATTTGTTGGATAAAAACATTTCATTGAGAGCCTTAATACAACGGGCTATTTGAATGATTGCTCACAACCTGGGCTAAGAACGAGATTAGGACATCAAAAGTGTTATACAGATCTGAGCGTCTTGGAAGGGGATTAACGAGATTGCGGGCTTTATTGACACTATATCGACCCACCTCTTCTATCTTTGCTTCAATCCTGCATTAGTTAACACCTTGAGAAGTTACACATTGAAACAGCAACAGTTAAAACAAACCCAGCTTACTTCATCAGCACAATGCAACGTTAACTTACCAATTTAGTGCTAGGGGGTACGTCCATTAAACAAAATAGAGAAGCTCCGCCCGTGGACGCCGCCTTCATTTTAGAAATTTGTCTTTGTTCCAAAATCATGTCTATTTTTTCTAAACTCTACTCAAGGAAGTAGAATGATAGTATAATAGGGCTAATTTCCAACAGACGCAATGAAAAAATTTGTGATAACAAATGTATTCTTTTAATCTGAATAATATCTCTCCATTCAATTCACGGTATCGTAATCCAATCCACGTTTACCTACCCAAACCGTGGCAACCATAAATGAAAGCGGGTATAATATGTCATTTTTCTGTCCGAAAATAAATAGTTTTTTGGTGGTACCTTATAGAGACGGATGGTTGGGACTCAATTGATACTCTATCACACTTCATTTTCTAGCTAAGTTTCAGTTAAAACTTTGAACAAACAGATACATTTGTTGTCGTATGTTAGTGCAGTGATGTCAACTTTAATGTTGTGGTCACGATTGATGTTCATGTCAAGTAGTGCTTTCAATTCGTTAAAAAACCAATAACAACAACAACTGGCATTTGAAGTTATTTCAACTTCTATAACTTGCTTTGCTATGTGAAAGGTAAATAAATACGCAGTTCTGTCAGTCAGTTCAATTAAAATGGTCTTTTGTGTCAACAAGACAACAAAGTGTGTTTATTGATTTCACGTTCAATCATATGCTTTTAGAAATTTAATCTGTTTGAAGATATGGCTCGTTAGATGAACAATACATAACAGAGGACTGAACCCTAGTATACAAAGAAAAACGATACCCACGCTAGTGACATTAACAATAATCATTTTAACTACACTGTTAATTTATATAAAAATACATAATCAAATACGCACAGAGAAAAACTATGTTAATTTACAGCACAGCCAGTCAAAAAGTATAATACTAGAAATTCTTTTAGGGCTCTTGTAAGTCTGGTAATGTGTAGTACAATTCCGCAGATAAACCTTCCTATCTCTGTCGAGCCTCGTTTGATAAAACCAAAAGCAAAGGGAGAGTTAAGGTTACACGCATCTGTTCGCGGACAAAAAAAAAACTAGGTCAACACACAAGGCTATAACAATACCACAGTATCCAACACTTTTTATAATTATGCACTGGTTGTGTGAAATGGAAATGCATTCAGAAGATTAAGTCACTGCTATCCAATCACTAGAACATTAGTGGAAACTGAAGCGCCATCAATAGAGTTTGGTGATTCCAATGGCGGAGCACTGCCAGAATCTTTCCTACTTTAACAGGGTAGACACCATGGAATGTAAATGCGGTATGATTTGCAGTGGAGTATCTGTTGAGTTTGTGTCTCAAACTCGACCTTCGGATGGCCAGGATGGCATGTGAGTGCTATGTAGCCTGGTCACGTCAAGCAGCTCGGGTGGCCCCCAAACTCAAAGTATGGATTAGTCTTTGTGTTTATTTGCTCCAAACTCATCCTACCACCTTGACATGGGACTGCCACAAAAATAGTTTTTGTTGAATCGTTACATACTTCTGTCCTGCACAGGGTATTGTCACTTTCTCCTATCTTTGTTACTAGAAACACTAACTTCCCCAAATTTACTTTGATCATCAAGGAGGACTTCACAAAGATCACGTGCAATGTTATCTATGGAATTGTTTTCCCAAAGGTGCCATTCCTGTTACACATGTGAGAAGATAAGAAGATTATCAGAAAGAATCAGCAAACATCTTCGTGATATTGAAAAAAAGATATCTCATATCTCATATATCAAATCTCATATCTCATATCTCATATCTTTTTCACGGAGGCAAAAACAAAGTCATATCAGATGTTTGAATCTCGACAATGATTTCATAGATTTGTACAACAGTGAGAGTGAGGAAAAAACAACAACAACAACTTTTTGTTACCATGTCACTATAGGTAATCGATCAAATACTCTCTTACAAGCAGTCCTCAATCACCATCGAACCTTTTTCTATTTTTCTTATTTTCGTAATTAAATTAACTTATCTAAATTCTTTTTATATAAAACAATATATACATTTTTTTATTTCCCGTAACCTCCTTGGAAGCACACTTACGTTTTGGTTAGACAACTTCATGTCTCGATCTAATTATTACAGCGACCCACATAACAAGTTTATATTTTCTCATGCTCTCTTGTTTCTTGGTATTTTGTCGCCCGATGAAGGCTTCTACCCGAAACGTTAATTTGATTGGTTTTTTTTTTCTACTTCCTTTCGAACGTTTACCTATCTTTTTCTTTTATTTCCTACATAATATTAGATACCCCTGTACATCCAATCAATTGATACAGCTAGTCTGTATATCCATCCATCAAAGGATTTCGTTTGAATTTCCATCCATCTAATCATTTTGTCTGTATTTCCACCCATCAAATAATTTTATCTGTATTTCCATCCATCAAATCATTTTGTCTGTATTTTCATCCATCAAATAATTTGTTCTGTATTTCCACCAATAAAATCATTATTTCTATATTTCCATCCAACAAATCATTTTGTCTGTCTTTCCACAATCAAATGAGTTAGGATATTAAGTTTTTCATTCTTATTGTTTTTTTTTGTGATCAAATAATCAATTAAAATATTCGTAATGCCATTAAACGTAAGTTAAAGGGAACTATCCAACTCTGCTCTTGAATTTCTTTGGTAATTTCCCTTTGTTTGAATATAATAAAATATAAATCCTACTTTTCTGAAGTTCGAGAACATGTTGGTAAATCGTGGCGAGCTGACTCGTGTTCTAAGGATTGTTATGGAAGGGGAAGCAGATTTTAGAACATATATATTATAACATACAGTATATAAAACCATGGGCCAAAAAAATTCAAATTTAATTTCAATTCAAGAAAAACATAATTACCTCCAAATTTAATTTACTATTTAATTTTTTATTAGTTTTTCATTTTTTTTAAATACAAAATTTATGATTAGCTATACTTAAGGTTTCTTTTCTATGTTTTGAAAGATATTTTTTTAACAGGGAAATATATCCTTCATAATAATTTTAAAATGAAATAGTTTTCGATAAAAAGCTGAATATAATTCTAATGTAGAGATCATCGACTTTCAACCTCTTACTGAAAACATAATTTATTTTAGAATATAATAGGTTATTGTAAAAATTGCACTATTATTAAAAAAAATTTAAAAAATGAAGAAACCTTCATGAATAGTTGACTGTGTAAAATCCTAAACATTTGGCTATTCAATAAAATAGCATATCCATCAGTTAGGGAGATGACATCTCACGTCTGAGAGGAGCAGGAAATTTGAAAAAGAAGTTGGAGATCGATATGTCGAAGTGAGACAGTTTAGTGGAATAGGATTTGATGAGGCTTGAAAAACAACACAGAACGATTAAAAGAACGTTTTGGCTGAATGCTTTATTCAGCAGGCAATACAGAACTCTAAAATCAAATTATTTGAGTTTGAAAACCTTAAGTGTTTCTAGCATCCCAGTTTAACTCTCGGAGCCTCTGTGTAGAAACCGGTAAGAAAAAATGCTAAGTAAAACTGCACAACTAGGTAAAACATTGTAAGGAAGACCCAAGAATCAAGAAGAGTGAGGCCCAAAATATAGGTCTTAAAGAGAAGGACGATAATAAAAGTAATATAGAAAAGTGATTTAATTACAGCAAGGGACTGGATGGCGTGGAAGTGGAAATATATTTTAAAAGGCTGTGCTGAAATATTAGTTGAAAAGCCATAAAGCCATACAAGGAAGCAGAAGCTATGCAGAAAGCGCATATTTTGTTCATCGATATTAATTAAGGTCAGAGACGTAAAGAGAAAAGCCCAGGCACAATAGGATTATCCCGACGACAACCCTTCAGTCACAGAGAAATCTTAATTAAAAGTGGAGGTCTGTCAATTTTGTCTGTCTGGTCTGCAATTATGATCAAAGACCAGCGGTATTAGCAGACAGACTTAACGTTTCTCCTGTTTAGAGGCAACCATTCTTATACAGTTTATTGTTAGTGAAAAAAACAACAAATAACAACAACAACACATTAAACTTTGTTTCTTCGTTCAGCTAAGCAGACATAAAATTTTGATATGCCCAGTGGGTTTATTAAAACGTTCCAAACTTTGGCCGATCTCATTGTATCATAACGCGTTATTCTGTGGCCGAGTTAAGTTGGTGAATGGAAAACTCTCATAACATGTTGTCATCGCTTCCTAGTGTTCTGATACTGTTTTTTGCAGGTACGACATCATTTCATGTTTATAAGATGTTCCACGATACTGTGATATATGTTTTTATAGGTACGATCACGTCATCAGGATTCAGAGATTTATTTTTATAATTGAGCTGCTAAAATGCGCATGAACAATGTCTAAACTAAGGATGGTGAAAACGATTCGGAAATTTTAATTAGCAGCTTCTACACAAAGACGTCCTAGAATAGAAGACACGACACAAGATGCTATATGTGAAATGAAGGCAATATATTTTCGAGATACTTCGAAATATGAAATAATAAGCTCTATGAAAATATAAATAACATGCATAGTTTAATTATATTTAATTTAGAAAGTAAGATATCAAGATGTATTTTGTTAAAATCCCAAATCAAATATACGATTTTGAAAGAAAACCGTCCACATTAAGAATACTTTTTTTTTAGCAGAGAAGTTATAAAAAAATAAAATTTTGAATATTTACATGGCAAAGACCGTTCGTTGTCTTTTAAAACGGTTAAGTCTCATATTAAGTCTTTGTTTTATAAATTCACTAAACGCTCATAACTACTTTTCTCGTCTCCAAAATGTGTAAAAAAAATTAAAAAATGTAAAGTAAAGTAAATTTTGTCATTTTATTTTCAGCCATTTCGACAGCAGCTGTACCTGGCAGGACATTCAAGAGGAACACGGACCCATTGGTCGACATCGTGCCGTTATCTCCTGGCTGGACTGAGACGTCATCTGTGTCATGTGTTGCGAGATGTGCACGAGAGTTTCTGACCTGCCGTAGCGCTCTGTTTAACAAGGTCACCAGACACTGTACGCCTGGTGAGTCGATGTCATTTTAACAAGGGCACCAGACACTGTACGCCTGGTGAGTCAATGTCATTTTAACAAGGGCACCAGACACTGTACGCCTGGTGAGTCGATGTCATTTTAACAAGGGCACCAGACACTGTACGCCTGGTGAGTCGATGTCATTTTAACAAGGGCACCAGACACTGTACGCCTGGTGAGTCGATGTCATTTTTACAAGGCACCAGATACTGTACGCCTGGTGAGTCGATGTCATTTTAACAAGGGCACCAGACACTGTACGCCTGGTGAGTCGATGTCATTTTAACAAGGGCACCAGATACTGTACGCCTGGTGAGTCGATGTCATTTTAACAAGGGCACCAGACACTGTACGCCTGGTGAGTCGATGTCATTTAACAAGGGCACCAGACACTGTATGCCTGGTGAGTCGATGCCATTTTAACAAGGGCAACAGACACTGTACGCCTGGTGAGTCGATGTCATTTTTACAAGGCACCAGATACTGTACGCCTAGTGAGTCGATTTCATTTTAACAAGGGCACCAGACACTGTACGCCTGGTGAGTCGATGTTATTTTAACAAGTTCACCAGACACTGTACGCCTGGTGAGTCGATGTTATTTTAACAAGTTCACCAGACACTGTACGCCTGGTGAGTCGATGTTATTTTAACAAGTTCACCAGACACTGTACGCCTGGTGAGTCGATGTTATTTTAACAAGTTCACCAGACACTGTACGCCTGGTGAGTCGATGTTATTTTAACAAGTTCACCAGACACTGTACGCCTGGTGAGTCGATGTTATTGTTGTTTTTTTTTATTGGTAGAATTCTGAATGCCCAGTAATTTGATTGTCTTAAATATGTCATCCGCTGATTATTTTTAACAGTGAATAGCAATTCGATAGTCATAAAAGTATCATTTTACTAATTGGTTTAACGGTTAATGTCTGTAAGGCTGATTGGCATGGGAATGTCATTGTCTCATTTGTACCACATTGGAAGCTTGATTCAGCAGAATCTACAGGAGAATGACGTGTTCAACATCTTTCCTGCGTTGGATGACTTAATGTGCAATTATGTAATAACTCAATCTTTGTTTGCTGCTTGCATTTCATTTGGATAACAATTTTAAAAAAAAATCAATTATTACTTCTTTACTTATTGAAAATGTATTCATTGGAAAGGGCTATTTTAAGAAACAGTTGACGAAGAGCTTCAGCTTAAAAATATAAAATGGAGAACACACATCTGCAATAAAAAGTTGGTCCCAGTTCATATTTGTATGTCATATTTGGGAGAGTTAGTAATTTAATCAACGTAAAATATGGAACTTTAATAAGCATCAATACGCACACAACATGGAACGATATATACGGTGATTTGTTGATAAAACTTCAAACGCTCACAACAATGTTAAAGTTATATATAAGTTTCCATTTATTTAAAAATAAAATCACATTATTTAAATTTGATAAATTATTGTAGTAATAACCTTTATTGGTTCGTCGACAAATTTTGGCATCGTGGCAGGTATCCAAGTAATAACCTTTATTGGTTCGTCGACCAGTTTTGGCATCGTGGCAGGTATCCAAGTAATAACCTTTATTGGTTCGTCGACCAATTTTGGCATCGTGGCAGGTATCCAAAAAAATTATTTGAGTATCAAAAATGTGGAGAGACAGTAGAGACATAAAAGTACTTAGGTGTCACCATTAATAATGAGCTAACATGGCAAGAGCACGGTTAAAAGCTGTGAAATGAATGCAACTTAAGACTTTTCTACCTTAAAAACTGTGCAATTTCGGCGTAAACAAAGAATTTATTCTACAGTGAAACAATTGGAAGAGTGCTTAATTTCAGTATTACCTGAAAGCTAGAAACGTAACACAAAATAAACATCCTTCACTTTATGAACTATTTGAAAAAAAATGTTATCTTATAACTAGACACATTTGTGATGACTCATCACAGATACTTAGGATCAGCCTATTCGGGACGAATTATTTTCATCAGGGCGAGAACTGAAAGATATAAAAATTAGTTTGTCACAAAATCTATTTGAGAACAAATCAACTCCCTGTTATGACTAAGGTAGTTCACTGAATGGCTGTTTTTTTTAATCTAGAAAAATAATTTAATGTAGATGTCTGGTGTTTAAATTGTTTTAGTGGGAAAATATGGACTTCATTAAAAATAAAATATGTATTTATGTATGTGGTAAAAATGTATATTTTCAATGTACGTTGTAAAAAAAACATGTCCATATGTTTTTGGATCAATAAAAGAATCTCATCTTATCTTATCTTATCTTATCTTTTCTTATCTTATCTAATAAAGCCATTATGTTACCTCTCTACTCACCAGGTTCATGGCTGCTTCCTTCACCGTCTGCACGAGATTTGACCCAAGGAACACTTTACTCGACTGCAATGAGCTGCAATGGAAAAGCTGAGTCGTTTACCTACGCAGCTGATAATGGTGTTATGTGTGCATGGCTGTCGCCTCGTAGACTGAACTACATTAGCGCACGGGAGGATTGTATAGGCAAGTTTGATTTTTTGCTTTAGAGAAGTGCTTTTCTAATTAGATGGAGTACAATAAGAAGCTTTTCGAGTGGAAGATTTACGGGAAGCTTAAAAAAAACAAACAACATACGATACATTATTTTGTACTTAAAAGTGTTGTAAAAAATGGAGTCGCCCCATTACTGTACATTTTAGAACTTACTAGTTGATTACCCGTGTTTGAAGGGATTACAACTTTTTAAGAAATGCATCCTCTTGTAGTTTTCCTTCAAGGATTCAGCAAGAGCAGAAGAAGAAATTGAAAGCAGAAACTGTTTTTCTTTTTATGATTGTCTTTTTAAATTTGGATCTCAGTTTGGGGGGGGGGGTTGATGCTGATACTGTAACCCTCATCTCCATGGGCGGACCATACGAAGATAACAGAGGAAAGCATGGTAAGCACGATGAGTTTCTCTAATCCGCATCAAATAAATGGATTTTTGTGAAGAAAAATGTCTGGATGTTCGGACTCCTGCCCCATTTACCAAAGCCACCTGGCTTGTTGTTGGGGCGTTATATCGAACCCTATTTTACAAAAAAATCCTTACACTCAATGCAATTATCATTTTTTAATTAATGAGACACAATTTGTGCAAAAAAAATATGTTTAAGCTTTCATAATAGGCTTAGTGAATATTGATTCCATCTCTATTTTTTTTTGTTTTTTTTAATTTTTTTTTTAAAACAGCTTTTCCTAGAATATTAAATCTCAAGTTACCTAGTAGGTTTTTTAAATGATGTCATCATTTGTGTCGTAATTCTTATTTTAATACATCTTGTTTTTATGCTTAATTGACATTGAGTTTGAACCACGTTAAAATTTCCCCAGTAACTTTATTTTGACCAGTGACAGACTGTGATAATGATAACGTGATCTGCACGTCCACTCAGTATAAAATAATATATATAGCAAATACACATATGCAAAAGAAAAAGACCCCAGATTGCAATATAAACATCGGTCATCTACTTTTAGCAGATCCTTTTTGCCGCCAGCTTAACTCGATCACCCTAGGCACTGCGATGCGAATAGTTATTGTATTCATTATATATGCAGTATGATTGTTTTTAATATTAAAATATTGTATTGTATGATTTCGAGACGATATTGTATACTTTTGGGAGTTCAAGGTTAAACAGGTCTGCAATAAATTAGAAAACGTAGATACAATAATTTAAAATAGATTTATTGTAAATTTAAGGCACACAGCAGCCACGAAGTCATCGCACGTGTGAAATTCTCCTAGTTTACTAAACATAATTTTAAATTTTATCACGCCTTCTTTTCCATACGTTTTGTGAAGCAAATTCAAGTACCGTCGGTGGGCCGGATGAACTGCCGTCGGCGGGCCGGATGACGTCGCGGTCCGTAGTTTGGTGTTCCCTGCTCTACAGAATAATAAGCGAAATCATGAAAGCAGGAATAATATATTAACATTTTTAGTGTCCCTGTGTGATATTATGCTTTTATATACTTAAAAGAATAATTCTGTTGCTTTCATTCAAAACAAATAGATAATTTTACGACACAAAAACCTCACAAAATTCAAAGCAACAAAAAATATATCATTTAATCTTGAACCAAAACACTTCACTGAAAGATGCAAACATTCTAAATCATACAACGAAATAAAACACACGAACCAAATCCTTAATAATAGCCATGTTTTGGACATTGGTCATTTTTGGCCACATGAAAGCTGATTTTTAAAAAGAAAACAAGTCATTGCACGCATAGCATTTACAAGGAATTACTATGGAAAAAATCAACTTCATAAGGGGTCTGGTTGTTCTTGAGATCTCGTGATCTTTCAGTGGGTCATTTAGCGTCATTTGGGTATATATATATACATATATATATATACAGAGAGAGCGAGAGAGAGAGAGAGAGAGAGAGAGAGAGAGAGAGAGAGAGAGAGAGAGAGAGAGAGACTCTCTCTCTCTCTCTCTCTCTCTCTCTCTCTCTCTCTCTCTCTCTCTCTGAGAGAGAGAGAGAGAGAGAGAGAGAGAAAGAGAGAGACAAAATAAGAAATGTCGTTAACGGAATAAGGGGTCGGTTTAAGATTTTTTTCAAAAGTTACTTATTACCAGGTGAACGTTTTCTTGTGTTTTACTTTGAATGAAGGTAGCAACAAAATTCACACGTCATTTATTGAGGACAAATAAAACTTTAGTTTTATTAGGCACAGTTTTGTATGTGGGAATCTGTTCGCGCATTTGTTTAGCACACCTTTATAAAATTGACGCCTCTTCTTTCACTAAAGTAAAACGTATCTAATTGTGTATCGCACACAAACATGTGTTTGCTTTGAGAAGTGGTCAATTTTGAAAATTACCTTTGGGTTTACCAGCGAACCAGGCCCGATTGTATACGATCCGGACTGACGAGAAGCTGGAACTGTTGCTGAGGCACTACCCCCCTGACAGAGATCAATACCATCAAGACAAAGATCGCTACTGGATCGGACTCGATGATCTGGAAAATGAAGGACTGTTTATATGGGCTGACGGAACAGCTCTAGCAGATGAATGGAAAGCTCGCGTGTTTCATCCAGGTAATAAGGACACACATATGTTGTTTGTTTTTTTTTTACCTTTAAACCAAAGCCAGAATTCAAGGTAGTATTTTTTTGGGACGTAAGCCACATGATTGCCAAAATGAGATTGGATTAACGCGATGTTTAAAATCATATTTCGGAAACTATTGTCCGTTCTCTTTTCATGAGTTAGGAATGCTAAATTTTGCTGTTGATATCTTTGGTCTAAAACCTTAAATTCCTTTGTTTGGAAACACTAGAATCAGACACCTTACTTTCAATACTTACTTTTGTAACCCAATTCACATTGGCTGAGTGAATTAATCACTCATTAGAGACTGGTGCCCACCATATAACAGATAATAGAATCTAGATTATACTCTAGATTTTTCTATATTATCAAAATAACATATTGTAAAATAGATTCAAGATCAGCTATATTGTTCATACTAAATTACATTGTTTTCGATCTATTCTTTTTTTTCGATATCCTTTATTAATGTATATTCTGTTGTGTATTTCTCGATCTAGAAAAATTTGCTTTTTTCACTTTGCACTGAAAATACCTTTCAATTATAGATCAATGAAATGAAATATAAAATCAAAAATATTCTTTGAAGTACAGATTCCCATTCATTTTGAGTAAAGACTTCATTTTGTAGAAGGAAAGTTGGCCCGACAGCCCATTTTGTAGAAGGAAAGTGGCCCGACAGCCCATTTTATAGAAGCAATTTAAAACGTGGGCCCATCTGGTAGCATCTGTAATTACAGAATGAATACAACGTATCGAATTTTTAAATGCAATTTATAAAAAATTCAAATTTTATGCATACCCCATTTAAAAATTAAAATTATTCAAACAACTTTTTAGTGTATGCTTACTGTTTCAATATGCGATCCAACAGAAATGATGGCTCTAGCATCTATAATTAACGGCCGTAATGTTTTTATTTCAACCACGTTTCAGGCCAGCCTGATGACCATTTAGGCGTCGAGGACTGTGTGATTTACAATGCCAGCTTCGGACCACTCAATGACATCCCTTGCAATGACTCCTGGCAGTACATTTGCGAAACGGAAACTTCTGCCTAGGGGCTGCCGTGAAGACTTGAGAATCACGAGCAAATGGCTAACAGCCCGTGTGGAGAAATTTAAATTATGTGTACTTTTGTGTGTGTAAAAGACAAGTTTTTCGAAAAAATTCCTTTGAGAGCGAGTTCTTCCAAGGAAAGTTATTTGAAGTTATTTGTCAACTATTTGTAAGTCTGTGCCCTATCCTCGACACAGCATTTTTTTTTTGAGTTTTTAAATAAAGAATTTCAACCAAGGAAATTTCCTCTGATGTCATTTTCGGAAAACGAGATGGATTTATTTGAGTCAAGTAAATCATTTTAAGCACTGAAGTTGATAATTGGATCTATTTAGTTTTTCAGTTTAAAATCATTGTTACTTGTTAACAATAAATGGCAGCACCTGTATGGAGTCTACTTTACTGAACCTTCAAAGAACCGTGCTTGCGTCGATTATAGAAATGAACAAATGTGTGCTACTGAGTGCGTTCTTTTCATGTTGTGCTTTTGACCCATCATTACGATACTTCTATACATTTAAAAAATCATTTAAAACTAATACCGGTACATGAAACGTACATGTAATCTCTTATCCGATAAGATCTCTTGTCCTGTGTAGGCTTTGATGTGAAATGTTTTCATCACGTTTCACCATTACTTGATTAATTGCGCCATTTTTATGCACAACAATGTTTAAGAAATAAACTATTTAAAAAAAAAAAAAAATTAACGGGTGGGCTCAGAGCAACTGTTTGTGTAAATTTGCAGCATTATCGTTACTTTAGATCATGGAGTATTCACGATTAGAAGTAGTGTTTTAAAAAGCCATGATACAATAAAGTCTCTCCTGATCATATATTGGTGAATCTTTGCTCGATTTTCTTGACTGTCTCTGCGGTAGGACGGTTAAGGCCAATGTTTTAAAATTTGAGACGCATGCAGCACTCGTGTCAGCAATCATGGAAGTCAGCTGGTTCGGACACTTGACACGAAGACGGTGAAGTTCTATGAACCTGGTATCATACGACATCGTGACATCGTCGATTAATACCGCTAAGCCCCCGACGATGCACATCATACATCCGTGTTTGACGTTGGTCCTGAATATGTGTTGCTATGGTTAGTTTTTTTTTTACTTGTGCGTGCGTTTTGCCACAATGAGTTCGTATGTTTGTACAATGCGAAGGAAAATATAATTTAATAGCATGTAATAAATAATTAGCTGCTTTATATTACACGTAAATTACATACAGAGATGACAATTTTATAATAAATACATAGTTTTATTTATATTAAAAAAATTATTTATGTATAAAATTGATTTTAAGCAAACATGATAATAAAGTGAGAATCGTATTTCTTAGCTTTTGCTGTTGATGCAGATTCTGGGATGACCTTTATACAGATCGCAAATGCCCATGTACATATGGTACAGCCGTGGCCAAGCTGGATAGCGCCTTCAGTCATTGCATGTGTGGCTAGTTGCTTGAAAGAATTCAAATCTTGTTACAGCGTTGTCTATGAAGAAGAGAGTCAAATCTGTACACCTGGTGAGAAACAAAAAAACTTAGAATAAACTTGCATTACTCTCTTTCAAATAATTGAACTACATAATTCTCTATGTTACAATGTTACTAAAGTCAAGAGATGGCACTGATTTCTCTTAACAAAAATCCCGATGCCTGGGCTAAATGAAATTCTTTTAAGTACCGCAAGTGCGTTTGGTGCGTAAAATATTTGCGTTTAAAGGGTTAGTCTCAATATAAATCAGTGGTATCAAAGGGGGTGAGGCATTAAAGTTTTGATATAATTCAGTGGCGTGAAAGAAGTATGTGGCTGCGTACTGGGGTGGCGGTAGCACTAATTGAGTGACTTAATTGTATGCATTGTTTGGCAAGTAACTTTAGTGGATGGGAATTTCACGCATTTCAATTGCAATTCTTTGGGGAGCTAGAGCTAGAAGATATAAAAATAATATAATTTCACACTGTAACACTGATTTCAGTAGAGAACAAAATATAATTCCAGATAAATGCATTTAACAGTGTGCAAATTTGTGTTCAATATGCGCAAAACATATTATGGAATTATTAAGAAAGCTGAAAGGGGTTATTTTAATTTTACGGAAATGGAAACAATTTAAATCTTATAAGATGGAAATGCTTAATATAAGTATCTACACCAGTGAATGTGTAGCCTTTGCATTATAATTAATATAAAGTATAGATACATTTAATATTACATTTTAAATTATTATACAAAAATTTACCTGAATGGGAGAGTTCATAAATTGTGTAAAATCGATATTGTTATTCAATTTAAATCTTCTATTACACTTAATTATTAATTTGGAAGCAAATTTATCGGGAAACCCGATAAACGTGTTTCGACAATGTTGTAAATTCTTTATAATTTAAAATAAAATAATATAAATTAATGTTAATTGAACAAATTACTAAATAAATTATCAATTTCCCTTTGCTAGACCTCAAAGAACCAAGAATGAGCGTACTCAAATAAGAACTTATTTTAAGCCAACAGATCTTAAAGCTTTGTTTAACTTTTCTTGATTTTAAATGCTTGTAACAAAGCTGATAGATTTTTTTATGCTTCTTTTTAAAATAAATTTAATTGCTCATTTTTGAAATTGTTACTAATGTTTTAACACACCATACCAAATTGAAACTTTGTGTCTTTAACTTTTTTTTACTCAAAACTTGCACATAAATGATATGAAACAAAATGTTGACTTACGAAAATAAATGTGAAAATAATAATATACTGTATAAGCCATAGTTTTAATATTGCTTTAGGTTATTTGCAACAAAAGGTCGATCGGCGACAAAGTTTTTGTGGTCGTTCGAGCTTTCGACAAACGCAACCAGTTTTTTTGTAATAAGAACGAGAACAGGCCTAAAGCTGTCTTAAATCCAGCATAGTTTCAGAGTGCAATCCTATTCATATCGTTTTCTATCCGAGAATCGTTTAGGCTCCATCTCAACAACACTAAAGTTTGCTCTAAGACATTAACAAAACCTTTCTCATCAATCACAAGAAACAAATCTCTAGTAAAAACATTTGATCACGTCGTAATCGCTCTAAAGACAGCATTTTTTTTCTCACTTTGTAACATCCACGTTACATTGCCAGAATGCAGGAAACAGGCAAAAGTTAAAGTTTGCATTGCATAAAACAAAAAGCGGAGAAATCTTTAGGGAGATGATCATCAATTTTCTCTCAAAATACATTTCACCGAAATTCGCCAAATGAAAAAATATATTTTATTTTTGTAACTATAAATGTAATGCTTCTTAACTTTGTTGAGTTTTTAAATTTTGCCGTACATTCTGCCCAGTTGCGGCACCTTAGAGACGCAGGACATGCCTGTTATTATTTAGTGTACAAAGACAAAGCTGAAATATGAAACAGCAAAAGGAAAATAATTTTTTCTTCGCTTTATGAGTTAACTTCATTTTATTTTTTCATGCTGATTGATGATAAGAGCTTGGATATTTACTTTAAAAAAAAAAATATTCCCTTTTTTTTAGGAGCGTGGCTAATCCCATCTATAACCCCAGTAGATCTGGGTCACGGTGCTCTCTTCTCTTCTGGAGCATTCTGTGATACAGACGTTGGATTTAATGTTACAATTCACGGTTCACTCATCATGTGTACGCAAATGTCAACAGTTACACAAACTTACCACAAGGCAAAGAAACATTGTAAAGGTGATATTTGTTTAAATTTTGGTGGATCTCATTTCATATCTTCACTAAGCCTTTAAAATATAGCATAGAACATTTTATTATCCTTCAAAAATTGAAGCAACATGTATTCGTTTGATCAGTTTGCTTAATATTTCTATATTCTCTATATTTCTTTAAAGACTTGTCTACGTCATGATTTCTCTGTGTCTAAATTACTACAACCCTTTAGATACTCAGTGCCCTATACATGTACTGAACAAAAATGCTCGTTTTGTCAATGTCAACAATGTTATACATGAAACTGATTCGATATGCTGGATCGTGATTTTCATTCTTTAAGTTAACATCATGTGTTTGATGTTAAGAAAGATTTAAAACAGTGTTTTTCAACATGCCGTGTTCCAAGACAAGATTAAAACACATTGAAACTCTTGTAGGGCGCGCGAGTCTTGGTCTAACTAACGTGTATGTGTGTGAGACTTGGTCTAACTACGTGAATGTGGTGTGAGACTTGGTCTAACTATTTGTATGTGGTGTGAGACTTGGTCTAACTATTTGTATGTCGTGTCAGACTTGGTCTAACTAAGTGTTTGTGGTGTCAGACTTGGTCTAAATATGTGTATGTGGTATGAGACTTGATGTAATTATGTGTATGTGGTACGAGACTTGGTCTAACTATGTGTATGTGGTGTGAGACTTGGTCTAACTCTGTGTATGTGGTACGATATTTGGTCTAACTATGTGTATGTGGTATGAGACTTGGTCTAACTATATGTATGTGGTGTGAGACTTGGTCTAACTCTGTGTATGTGGTGTGAGACTTGGTCTCACCATGTTTATGACGTACAAGACTTGCTAACTATTTGTACAAGATGCAAGACTTGGTCTAACTATGTGTACAAGGTACACGTTTTGTCTAGGTTTGTAAAATGTGTGAGACTTGGTCTAATTATTTGTCCGAGGTACAAGACTTGGTCTAACTATTTGTAGGAGGTGTGAGTCGTGGTCTAACAGTTTGTTAAAGCTGCGAGACTCGTAAAAATGCAGAAGATAAAAGTGATTTGTAAAAAAAATTTATTAACATTTTTTTTATGTTGTATTTAATTTGTTGGCTCTTCTGATATCTTTTACCCCATTAAAAAATACAGCTACTGTTCTTAAAACATTTGATCACAGAAAGACGAAGTAACCTATATACACTTAAAACACGAGAAAAATTGGATTACTTGCGGTCCTTCTACCCAGATAAGGATGGCGTGTTTTGGGTTGGTCTTGATGATGTGGACAAGGGAGGAGTCTATCGGTGGGTTGATGATGAAAGTATTTTAACAGAAGACATGAAACCAATTCTTTTTCAGCAAGGTGAGAATTTTAAAATATTGATTATTG